AACAAGCCCCTACATTTACAGATGAGCCTCTAATATACTTTTAGTTTTATTTTGCAATACAGAAAACATCTAAATAGGCTGCTAGACTCATTTGTATTACTTATCTGGGCTGAATCTTTATATTCAGTCTAATCTACATGTATGTGGGTATCTTTACGCTGGCTGTGGACTCACAACAGCAGTGGGAACCATAACAAGATTAAAGCCCATTCAAACACAGCTAGCAGTCAGTCTATGAAAGCGTACAGCTCATTTACTTTGTATGACTAGAAAACTGAAGAGAAATGCAGTATGTGTGATAACAGAATGCACTGCATGAAACTGATCAGCTATGAAAAATGAGTTTCATTTTATCCTATTCATTGCAAAGTTTATCATGTTACACTATAAACATTCTTATAGAGTCTCCCTCCAGCAATTCTCCATATATACACTGTACTGTAGTAATAAGGGGTTAGCCTTATTAGTTAAAAGACCCTATGTTTAACTTTTCAGATATGCTGATACAATAATTCAGTCAACTAGAAAGTATAATAATAAAAGAATTAGTTTAGCTTGTATTACTTTTACAATAACATTATTGATAACACAAAACTACTACTAAGTTTCCTGTAAATCAATAACTGTTCAAAAGCTACAAAAAAGTTTTTTTCCTAACAAATTAATTCAAGAACATGTTGCAAGAATGAATATACCCCAATGAAAGTCTTAGGAGCAAAGCTACATTTTGGACAACAAAATTCTAATTAACAAGAATTAATCTACAGGTGAGTCTAATTATTCATTAAACAGGTGCCCAGCAGACAGTTGATTTACAGGTGAGTCTAATTATTCATTAAACAGGTACCCAGCAGACAGTTGATTTACCATTTTATGCTGTCAGCAATGGCACCACATGGAAGAGAAATGTCACAAGCCCTGAGAAAGAAAATACTTTCTTTACACAAGACAGGTGAAGGCTACAAGAAGATGAGCAAAGCTTTACTTATCAGTCAGAATACTGTAGCAAAAGTAATACAGAAATTTAACAAAGATGGAACTACAACCATCTCACAAAGACGTGTAGGCTGTCCATGGATGTTAACACCTCGACAGGAATGTCTTCTGATGAGAAGGACTGAAGAAACTTGCCATGCAAGGTCACTGCAGTTAGCTAAAGAAGTAGAAAGCCAAACTGGGGTGACTGTTTCCCGTGACACAATATGGCATACACTGCAGAGGAATGGAATGCATGGGTGTCGTTCACAAAGGAAGTCTCTCCTAAAGCCCATGCACAAAAACGCCCTCCTAGAATTTGCCAGGGCCCAGGATGAAAAAAAAGAAGACTACTGGGGCTCTGTACTCTGGAGTGATGAGACCAAGATGAATATGTTTGTAATGGATGGCTTCAAAACTGTATGGCGTCGCAAAGGTACGGAGTAGAAAGAAAAATGCATGGTGCCTACAGTGAAACCTGGTGGTGGCAGTGTACTTCTGTGGGGCTGCATCAGTGCTGCTGTTGTCGGGGAGCTGCATTTCATTGATGGCATGATTAATTCACAGATGTACTGCTCTATATTGAAAGAGAAGATGCTACCATCACTCCGTGCCCTTGGTCGTCATGAACTTTGCCAGCATGACAATGATCCAAAACACACATCTAAGGCCACTGGTGCATTTCTGAAGAAGAACAGAGTGAAAGTGATTCAGTGGCTAAGCATGTCTCCTGATCTGAACCCAATCGAACACCTATGGGAAATTCTGAAGAGACAAGTTGAGCATCACTCTCTTTCCAGCATCCAGGCCTCAAAAATAGGTTGTTATTGAAGAATAGAAAAAGATAGATGTTGCAATATGTCACCAACTTGTTCATTCCATGCCTAGAAGACTAGGTGTTGTCCTTACAAATCATGGAGGTCGTACAAAATACTAGATGGAGCAGTTTTTGTTGTGGGTTGTATTCATTTTTGCATCAACTAATTTGAGTAAAACTGAATATTTAGTAATCCAAGTTATAATATTAATCTTACTTTCATGTAATGAGCTAAACAAATGTTCTACAAAACTCAGTTTTGTCATTTTGTCAAAATTTTGGAAATTGTTCTTGTAAACATTCAGATATTGATTAAAATCTTATTTTTCAAAAGGAGTGTACTCATTTATGCTGAGCACTGTATATATATATATATATATATATATATATATATATATATATATATATATCAATATGAACTGGGCATTTACCTGCTGAAAGCCCTATTTTCTCATAAATCTCATGTAATGTTCATTTTATAACGCTGTAATTCTCTTGCTTGCTTGCTCTTTTTGTCATACTGTTTTATAACACTTGAAAAAAGACCCTGTCCAGAGGAACAGAATTTGACTATTTTTTTGGAAGCTGCAATCGCAGAGCTATTCAGCAGCTATGCCTACAGGAGAAAACAAATTCTGCAAACCAGGTTAAAGTGAACCTTTGCCCAGACTATGCACACTAAAGTATTTACATATTATGAACAAACAGGTAAAGCCCTCACTCACCTCCATAGCTAGAGGCAATGTGGAGAAATTCATTTTTAAAGTGACTGTAAAGGTAAAACCTTTTCTTTAAGTTGTTGCAAAAGGTAAAACCTTTTTTCATTTTTTCATTAAAATAAAAAAGGATTATGTTTACCTACTCTATGCAATGATATTTCCCCATACATCTCCTACTAGCCCTGTCCACTCCTCCTCTCCTAAATGTGCCCCCATTGCAAGCTGCTTGCTATGGGGGCACACACACGGGCTTGCTACTGAGCCGTGCTGTGGATGTCCATAGACACCCACAGCATGGCTCAGCCCCACCCCCCTGGCATTGGATTTGAATGGCTCTCACTGCTATCAGCAGCCTGTAAGACAGAAAGAGAGGAGAGAAGACCTGCAGCTGGGCACAGCACTGGATCAATACAGGACTTGGGTAAGTGTTGGGGGGGGGGGGGGGGGTTTATAGACAAAGGAAGGTTTTTTACCTTACTGCAGAGAGTGCACTAAGGTAAAAAAACCTTTAAGGTTTAGAACCACTTTGAGTTCACAACGGAGACACTGATATTTCAGTTTTTCCCTATTGCTTTCCATTCTATCAGATTCTTGGGAGCCTGCAAGCCTTCTAATGTAAGCACATAGCAGATGTTTCTAAGCTCTTAGACTTCATGCATGTGGGCGCATTTGTCCATACAGAATAAAAACTGGGCATATTCCAGTATTTTGGAAGCACAGGTGGTGTACACTACTTGTGACTAGCAGCCTCTCAAATCAATGACAGCCTAAATGCACTTTGGCTGTATTCAGCTCTAAGGACATCCTTGCGGTACTCATGGTCAAGGTTGTATGCATACAGGAACATATGTCCCGAATATGAATACCGCTCAGATGTGCATACAGCCGCATACAGTCAAAGAATATTTCAGGCTGTCATTGAATTTGACAGGCTGCAGGCAGCGAGCTGTATGCACCACCTGTGTCTCACTATATAGGTGGTGCGCACTGCTGCTGTCAGCCTGTTAAAATCACTGACAAGATGAAATACGCTTCAGCTGTATATGGCTGTAAGCACATAAGTTTTTATGCTGTACAGGGAAATGTGCCCATGTGCATGTGGCCTACGTGAAAACTGACTTTATAGTCCTTGCTACAATCTTTCAAGATCTTTGAGAATGAATTACATCAAAGTAGAAGCTGTTAAAGAGGTCAGAGATGGCTGGTTCTAAAGCTTTTTTACTGCTTTAATGGGCACAGGCAAACTTTTCCAGTTGAATACAAATAATTGTAAATCTATGAAGAGTAAAATATGGAGCCTTCCATTGCTAACCTCCTCTGAAAATGAACAGCAAGGTCAGAAAATCTGTGTCTGCAAGCATCTATCTGAATGCTTGCACCAGGTCAAAGACTCAAAGGGGTTGATATACTAAACACAAATGGATTGTGCACTTTGCAAGTGCAGTTGCTCAAGAGTTTAGTAAATAAGGGAAAGCTCTGTTGATGTCCATCATCCAATCATGTGCAAGCAAATATGCTGTCTTTGATTTTGCTTGTATCTAATTGGGAATTCTTTGCAAAGTGAAGCTTCACCTCATTTACTAAGCTCTTGGGCACCTGCATTAACAGAGTTGAGAGAGAGGCTGGCGCATAGGGGGATTGGAAGACACAAGCCATGGATAGATATGGATAATATAAACCCAAGAAGCCCAACAAAAGTCCATAAAAGAGTTTGTATAATGCTGTACTGTATGGTTTCCACCAGCTGGAGGACCGAGAACCGAGTCTGGGAAGATTCAAAACAACATAAAAAGGTAGTGCCATATGAGCTGCAGAATTCAGCATTAACAAACAACATATTTATTTTTAAAGTAGAAGACTCATGGATCAAGTAGAAAACACTTGGATCAAGCATGTCACACCTACATCAGGCCCACTGTTAAGGGATTGGCATTCATCCAGGCCACCATGATGTTTCCCAGGGTTCCCCAGCTGGCATGGATCCACGCCAGCCGGGGAGTCCTGGGAACTATCAGTGTGCCTCAGATGGATGCCAATCCCTTAACAGCGGACCTGATGCCAGTGTAACAGCTAGAGCTTGTGACATGCTTGATCCAAGTGTATCTTTGGGAGATTTCTACTTTAGAAATTAATATGTTTCTTTTAAATGTTGCACTCAGATGGTGCTGTTTTTTTACCTTGATTTGTAGATTGCAACTGCACTTGCAAAGTGCACACTCAATTTGTCTTTAGTAAATCAACCCCAAAGCGTTTAAGCCCCTGGATTATCATGGCAGGTACTCTTTGCATTTCCAGAAGGAGAGGTCTGTCAAGATAGGTATACTTTAATTTCAGTTTAGACTGCTGTTGACTTCTGTAACATAGAGCGGTCAGAAGCAGCATTGTTATCGTTGCAAATCCAATTTAGAACACCTAGAAGGGAATGTGCATACACATTAAAAATATATTATAATACTCATACTTATTATTATATAATACTGAGCACTTACTTGTGCACATTGCCTCTGGTGGATCAAAATCTGCTCGATAATAGCCATTGCGGCAGATACAGATGGGAGAGGCCTCCGCCGTGGAGCGACTGTTCGCAGGACATGGAGCACAAATCCCCAATCCTTGATTGGCTTTAAACATGCCAGCTGGGCAGGCTGGGAAAAACACAGAAAATAAAACAGGTATTAATTCATATGTCATCCTATTGCTTCTATGCTGCTAAAAGAAATGAATCATTGACTTATAACATTTTCGCAGACTGAAGAAACAAGGAGCAAGTCAGTGACTGCACAACTGTATTTGACATCTATCAATAACAGCCACCTTCAGACCAAAAGCCTGAAGGTCAGAAACAGTCAGACTGTTGTGTCTGAACATGTACAGGCAGTCAGGCAGCCGGCTTCCTCCATTCAATGACAGTATCAGAATCAAGGCAGGTGCGTCTGACAGACAGAGCTCATGATATGTTTACTTGTGTTCCTATTGATTTCCTCTCCACTGGCTGTGTCAACACTTGAACATGTACAGTGAGTTAACACTACTTAGTAAATAAGCCTTCTAACGCAAAGAACAGACCTGTACCGTCTGTAACCCTTTAGATGCCTCTTGTCATCCACCCTTCTTCTCTAGTATCTTTCATGTAGACAAAAAATGCATGGCTGCAAAAATGCAAAACTTGGGCTTTACATTTCAAAATGCCACAAATAAAGTGGAACTTCACTTTCTTGATCAACATTGATTATTTAAACCCTTCTGCTGCTAACATTAGTAAACAGATGGAAATGTATATCATATTTACTTGTTTTAAACCTTTTTTTTTTACATTGCATCAGTTACTTCCTGGTTTCCAGGCATAGGCAAATGATGTCATACATCCCAGGTGTCTTCAGGAGGTGAGGAGCTAAGCAACCCCTCCTGGCTGCATGCTTAAGCTTAGGGCAGATGAATTCCAGGAAGTAAATGCTACATGAATCATCTGCCCTTACTCAAGATGACTACTAGGGGGTGTTTTTCTAAGTGATTTCTCAGCAAAATAAAGCATGGAGACATGGATCGATGGGTGATTTTGCTTTGCATATTAACCACTTGCCGACCACAGATAGCGAAATGACAGCTTCACTGCAGCCGGCCAGTTCTGGGAGGGTGTCATATGACATCCTCCCAGAACGCGCCCTACCACGCGTCCCACTCCCCCCCAGGTGCGCACCTAGCCATCTCCGTGATAGCTGATCACGTGATGTGGTAAAAGGCCAATCACAGCGTCCTTTTACCACGTGCTCAGCTGTGTCCAGTAATACAGCAGATCACCGGTAAATGCATGAGGAAAGTACTGCCGATAACTGGCAATTGTCAAAGGACGGATCGGCACCAATCATAAGGGCACCGATGATCAGTGCCCTGATGATCAGTGCCCAGCAGTGCCACCCACTAGTGCTGCCCATCTGTGCCCAGCAGTGCCGCCCACAAGTGCCACAGCAGTGCCACCCACATGTGCCCATCAGTGCCACCAATCTGTGCCCAGCAGTGCCACCCATCAGTGCCGCCCAGAAGTGCCACCCATCAGTGCCCAGCAGTGCCGCCAGTCAGTGCCCAGCAGTGCTGCCAGTCAGTGCCACCTATCAGTGCCCATCAGTGCTGCCTATCAGTGCCCATAATTGTTGCATATCAGTGCCAGCTCATCAGTGCCGCCTATCAGTGTTGCCTATCAGTGCCCATCAGTGGTGCCTATCAGTGCCCAGCATTGTTCCATATCAGTGCCAGCTCATCAGTGCCATCTTTCAGTGCCACCTCATCAGTGCCGCCTATCAATGTCCATCAGCACCTGTCAGTGCTGCCTATCAGTGCCCATCAGTGCTGCTTATCAGTGCAGCCTCATCAACGCACATCAATGAAGCAGAAAAATTACCTGTTTGCAAAATTTTATAATAGAAATAAAGAAAAAACTTTTTTTTCCAAATTTTTGATATTGTTTTTGTTTATAGTGCAAAAAATAAAACACCCAGCAGTGATTACATATCACCAAAAGAAAGCTCTATTTGTGCGAAAAAAATGATAAAAATTTCATATGGGTGCAGTGTTGCATGAATGCGCAATTATCACTCAAAGTGTGACAGCGCTGAAAGCTTAAAATTGGCCTGGGCAGGAAAGGGGTATAAGTGCCTGGTAGGCAAGTGGTTAAAAATGAATGAAATAGCGTTTTTTAACTTTGTGGCGCTCAGATGCAGTGTAGTTCTGCTTTAAAGACTGTCTACATTTCCCCACACTTACCCAAAGTCTACCATGGAAAAGCACAGTTGGAGTCTGATTGGTGGCTATGGAGTAATAAAGCTGTTGCCATTATGGAATATTTCATAAGTAAGGGCATGTATTAAATCTTATTGCTCAAAGTGTCTAACATAATACCATTGCGTAAAGCAAGCAGATTATTCCATTCATTTTGCTCCGAATAAAAGGAAGGTAGACTTTGATTTGGTTGCTATGGGAACAAGAACAGTTATTTGAGACACTTTGATAATGTGACTGTATTTTAATTCTGTTCATCCAGTGGCAGAGCTACCATAAATAGAAGGAGTGATCCACATAGGGCCCCAAGAATAAACAAAGCTCAAGCTGAACTCACCATCAGTTCCCCTTGGTGGAGACTGGAGACCTCTGCACACTGTTCCTGGAGGAGCATTTATTGAGTCTAGGTTGTTGAGTTTTTAAATGCCTAGTCAACCCAAGTCTAGTATCTGAATAATCAGTCAGTTTCTCATATTTCTTGGTAATAGAGACTTTGCTGCTGCTAAGGAGCTGCCTTTACGTGCACCACATTTCAAGGATCATGACTTTCAGACCTTGCCTGCTCCTGGTATATTCTGCAAAATTCCAGTAAATTGAAACCACTTCCATCATTGTCTTGCTTGACCGTGAGATTTATTGTGAAGATGTACAAGCACACACAAACAAACAGACATCAAAGAAGAAACCTTGATGCATGCTTAATTGTTATATTTCTTGGTTACTCAGATAGCAAGGTCTCTGCTCCTAGGTTCACAGTTCCATCCACATGCTGCAACCATTCTATCGGTTGGATGTTTTTATTTATTGTACATTAACCCCCCGGCGGTATTCCCGAGTGTAGCTTAGGGTTAACTTTCAGTACCAGAAGCGGTAACCCCAAGCTACACTCGGGATTACCCTGCAGTGTTTGCTCAGGGATTCCTCCAGCACTTACCTTGTCCTGCACTCCCGCAATATCCCCCCTGCAGCGTCCCTGGCCGATGCCGGCATCCATCTTCCGGGTTCCGTTCCCTGCAAGCGTCAGGACATACGGGATGTACGGGGGACGGAACCGGCAGGAAATTAAAAAATGTAAAAATGTGACATTCACTCAATACACTAAAATCTGATAGTATAACATTACTGTATCAAACCATTTCACATACATTTTGTCCCGAGTGCTTTGTCCTGTGCCCTGCCTGCATTTTTACTGTTCTTTCTGCCTGGAAACTGACAGACGTCCATGGCGCCCAAAAAGTGTCCCTTTAGGTCAAAAGCAGTTTTAGACCAGCTAGAGAACAGCGATAGTAAATTAGAACTACTTGCAGAATTGAGTGATAATGATTCATGGGGGAAATTCGTCATCAGACACTGAAAATGATTTTGCGACTAAGCTCAGCGATGTGCAAACTTAGCGCTCTATTTCAAATTTCAGTGTTTTTGGTTTGATTACATTATTGAATTAAATGTATTATTATATTATTATTTTTTATGATTATTTATTAAGCTATAATTTGTGATTTCGTGTTTCAAATTTTATCATACTCGGGATATTTACTAGACTCTTGTTCGGACAGATTTCAGTGAGTTATTCCTAAGAATTACAGGCCTACAATAAAAGAACAACATCTTTCCATTGAAAACAATGTACTGCTTTGAGCACAGAAATAATGACATAATCAGACCGCCAGGCAGGTTAAAGAGACTGCAGCAGGAGGAGTGACACTGCTGTAGCAGGAATAGTGAAACTTGGAGAGATAAGCAAATTCAGTAAGTTTGCTAAGAACATTATACACCCTGAGAGATTTAAAAGGCCAGTTACATTTTTAGTCTTAGTGAACCCAAAAGAGAAAATGTTGTTTTGGTGCACTGAATAGAACATTTAGAACAATAGAACTGACTAGAGAACATTTGTGGTACTAGGACAAGCTGCCGAAACATCACAGAACATTTGTTGCTTGCACACAGGAAGTAATCTGGAAGGCAACACCAACGTTTGTTCATAATGAAAGCTATGGCCAATTGGAAGGCAGTACCCACCACTACTTGGTGAACGAGTTAAGTTCTACATACAAGAAATACAAGAATAGTGACCATACAGACGTCTAGTTTCCCAGTCTTGAGCTTATGTTCTTGCCATTTAAACAGCATTTTGTCTTCGACCCTGATGAAAGGCAAAAAAAAAAAATCCTCCCAGCAGCAGTCACTCCCGACACTGCAATCAATTTCTCCTCATCATCTGCTAATATCTAGAAAGGAGCGGTGAATGACAGGTTAAAGGGCTTCAATAAAGATTAGAAAGACCATATCTCCAAAAGGAAATTGCTTGAAAAAGTGGTTATTCCACCAGCTTCTATTAATTTCCTTTCCCTGGTTACCTCAAGGAGACTCATATCCTGACACAGAGGAGATGGGGAGTGCGGCCTCTGTCTTATCCCAATCAGAGACACAGAAACACTCAACACTTAACCCCATCTAGGTAGCTCATATCTCTACAATCAGCTGAGCTTTCTGTGCAAGGACATTAGGGGGTCACGCTTAGCTACAGCTACCAGAGATGAATTAAAACTGAAGCTTGCTGCAATCTCCCCTTACAGCTTTCTGCCATAGCAGATAGATTTCAAGAAACACCATCGTTAGGTAAAAAAGTGTAAACAAATACAGCATACATACGTTCCATTGCCATCTCTGCTGCTGCCAATGTTTGCATGGCTTGACTCTCCGGCATCTGACACTGCTGAATGGGTGGGATGCCTTTGTCCTCCTGATGCCCACTATGGCCCCTATCTGTACGTTACCAGTATGTCCCACCTGAATAATATATGTTATTAAAACATCTATATTTATTTTATTTCAGGTACTTATATAGCGCAGTCAAT